GACAGTCTGAGGTGAATGCATGAATGATTGTAATGAGTGACCCAAAGAATGTGGCAGACAGTAATAAAGTATAATTTAGAGCACTTCAGAGGTGGGTGGGTGCTGGAATGACAATGAAGATGACGATGACAATGAAATTCGAACATTGTGTTAGTAAGAGTCTGATGGAACTTCTTGGGGCTGTAACAATAGTTCTCCTTTGTTCTTCTTAGGCCTTTTCTTACCCTGGTCAGAGTTAAACACTGCGTGACACAGGCTTTTCTAATTGTGGGCAGCCACAGTCGGGGTGGTCCCTGATTACCCTGGGGCATGGAAGCCTTGCTAAGGGATGAAGGCTAGAATGTAATTTGTAGCTCCAGGAGGAGCTAAGATTTGGAAGCAGAACTAACCTACCCACACAACGTAAAACAAGGCCTGCAACTGACAAAAAAAAGCACAAAGTCTGTCCCCTCCCAGACAAGCCCTGCAGAAATCCGCAGCTCAGAAAGGCCTGCATTTGGGGGCCCCGGGCCCTGGCGGACTGCCTAGCTTTTGGCCAGCTGACCAGGCCACAGAGTTTTCCTCCATGCCAACCCCACAGCCCTTCTGAAACTTGTTCCAGGAGAGCTCAGCCACACCAGTGTCTGCCAGACTCTTGTCTGCTCAGTGCGTGGGCGGCCCTGGCAACAGGGGACAGGGCAGGGTTTGTACAAGGACATTGTGGTCCCCCAGCAGCAGCAGGGTTGTGAGAGAGGCAGTCTCACTTCCAGGGCAAGCCAGGAGGGAACCCGGAGGAGGTGAGGAGCAGAAGCTGCAGACTCAAGGCAGCCTTAGCCCCTTTTCAAAGGCGCTCTTCACCTTGGAAGCCAGTTTCAGGGCCCCTTTCTCTCGTGCCTACTTTCTGGCTGTTTACTTCCTGCGTGCCCCAACCCCTGCCCAGCCAGATTCAGCACTGACATTCTATTCTGTTCACCAAATATTTATTGAGAATACTCTATGCAAGATGCCCTACTCCAGCTAGCGACTGGGAGATGAGATACAAAAAAACCACAGGATTAGAATGGACAGATCCTCAAAATGGTTTTCAGATTTCTCTCAGCCTCAGAACCTATCCTTCATCCATGCCCCAAATCCCAAATATTTAAGAAAAAGAAAGCATGAGACGGCTGCTGTTGAATCCAGGGGACACGGGCCAGACTTTGTCCACTCTGGCAAGAGACAGACTCCATGGACCGGGTCTGAAAAGCCCCGATCTAGACCAGAGGGAAAACTGAGGCCCGGAGAAGTGAAGTGACCTCCCTGAGACGCACTGCAAGTTAGTGTCTGACCACTTGGCCCAGTGCCCCATTCATTGTACGGCCCTATCCCTTGGCACTTGCTCCCCAGATCAGCTGGGAGAGTTCAGGCAAATCAACCCAGAATAGAATGTGTGTGCTACGACTAGTTAAAGAGAGCCAATCGTTCAAACTCGGGGAGAGAAAGGGTGCAAGAGGGGCATGAGGCTGGGCCCAGGACAGGATGGGCAAGATTCGACATAGAATATGGCCGGGGTGTGGTGGGGAATTGGGTGATGGGACGGAGACAATCCCAGGCCCCGGAGAACATGATCAGCTAAAGCCTGAAGAAAGACTGGCAGCTCAGAGTCCTGGATTCCAGCCCTGGCCCTGTCATTACAAGCTAGGTGACCTTGGGCCAGTGGCCTCCCCTGTCTAGTTTTGTTTCCTTGCATGTGCTAGCCGGTTCTACTGTGACATACTGTGACGCCTTCTCTCCTCCCATGAAGCTGGCCCTCACCTCCCTACCACCATCACCAACGTCAACATCCAGAACACTTCGCAGTGTGTGCCAAGTGGCTGGAATTGACACCAGGAGGAAGTGGCCTTGCGTGCCCCATGAGAGGAGCACAGAGCTGGCAGGCTCTGGGGGCCTGCCCAGAGCTTTGGGGAACAGCGAAAAACATGAGGAGGCAGGAGCCTGGGCAGAAGCGGGGCAGGAACGATTCCTTTTCTAAGAAGGGTTCTTTCCAATCCAGCCCTCTCTGGAGGCCCAGGCCTCAGCCAGTCCCCCCTGCCCATGCCCACCACCCGGGAGCAGACTGGGAAGGTCCTAAAGGTAGGGGTGACAAGCTACTTAGCCCCAAACCTTAGTATCCTCATTTTTAAAATGAGGCAAAAACAGTACTCTCAGTTGTAAAATTGATCATTTTAGTACCTCAGATGAGGAAATGAAATAATGCATGCGAAGTGCCTAGCATGTGTCTGGTGTGAGAACCGCTCGGTAAATATTGGGCCGCATGCATTGCCAGAGGGCTGCCTTCTGGGGAAGACTGCACAGTTTGAAGGCTCCTGACATTAAACGGGCTGGTTTAAGTAGAGCCCCTGTATGTCTAACACAGGCTCAATCACAGGAGGGTTCTGAGAATAGTGAAAGGCTCTGGGGAGGCTGGTGAGAAGCCCACTAGAAACAATGTGTGCACGCCCCCTGCTGTCTGGGAGCAAAAGTGCAAGCTTATGGGCTTGCGGGGGCAGGGGCGATGCAGGGAGATCCTTCCTTACTAGCACAACCTGCCACTGCCTGGTAGAGTGACCCCGTGTTCACAGAATGCCCACCAGATGTCACTCACCTGGCCACGTGCCAGGCTTTGGAAGGGATGCAAAATGAGCGACAAGTAAGCTAGGTTTTTGGAGCACATTAGTTTTGGAGTCAACCAGGCATTGGTTCAAGCCCAGAGACCACCCCCAAAACCATCTGTTGGATACAGCAGCGAGCAAAGTTCCTTTGTCTTGGATTTGCAGTGTGTGGAGTGACCTTGGACAGGGCCTGTAATGCTTCTGAGCTTCAGTTTCCTCATCTGTAACAGGGAGGTGTTCTCTACTCCATCCCCCTAAACCAGAAGGTAGAGACTCTGAATGTGGATCTCAAGAACTCTGTCACTTGGGGTGAGTTGAAAGTCACCATCGACAGTCATTCTTCTCAAGGGAAACCTTGTCCCTTGGCACCTGAGCTGTCATTTGTGTGGTTCCTTTGGAAGGGACGCTGTCACTCTCCTGTGGCATGCCAGGGTCCCCAGGTTCTCCCACCCACCGGACATCACGGCAGACCCTGGCCCTGGGCCCTTCTACTCCAGGATAATGATGGAGTCCTAACCTCTAATGAGAAGGCATCAGAGTGGACGTGGGAGGATCGTGCAAACAGAAAGCTCTTCGGACGGTGCTGGGACGGTCCACGTGGCAAGTTCCCACACTGCATGTTCCAGGCCCCGCTGGTTAGTTCTCCTCCAATTGATTGGACTCCTTAGCATCACAGTGTCAGTCTGCTGGGGGCCATTTGCCTTCCTGGACCGCTGTTCTCTGCCGGACCACTGGGCGGTGTCTCACTTGGTATGGCTTTAAGAGCTTCAAGGAGATAGAGAAATATGTTCTCAGTGAATTTTTATTAACATCCACCGCCACTACCACAATCAGATTTCCACTCCTAGTGGCCTTGACTGCATACATGTACGTGTACATACACAGACATGTACACACACACACACACACACGCACACACAAAGCAAAAGGAGAAGGTTGGAAACCCTCACTGCTAGAGAAAGGCCTTAACACCCACATAAAACACAACCCAAGTGGAGTCCAGCTTATTTTTTGAGGATGACTGCGGCATTATCTCATACTCTGGTGTGCATGTGTGCTTTTGCATTCATTTATGTTAAAAAGTTTTTTGAGCTATTGGGGCAATAGCGGTAAACAAAACAGACACAAATCCTTGCCTGTTACCCACACATTCTAGTGTGTATGGAGGAGTGGGGTACAAATATATAAGCAAGAAAAATATATAAGCAAGTGGCATAAACATGACGTTTGATGGTAATATGCTAGGGAGAAAGCCAATGCAGAAAAAGAGGTTCAGCTACCCCAGGATAAAGGGGCATCTTAAATGGAGTGGTCAGAAAAGTTCTTATGAAAAAGATGACATTTGAGTAAAGGCCTCAAGGAGGTGAGAGAGTGAGCCTTGGAGGTATTTGGTAGAAGGGGATTCCAGGCAGAGGAAATGGCAGATGTAAAGGGCCCGAGGCAGGAGCATCAAGGGCAGAGGGGCTGTCCTGGAGGGAGCAGGGGAGAGGGATAGGACAGCAGTCAGAGAGGGCATGGGGAGGGGCAGGTGGTGTCAGGCTTTGAGGATCGTCGTGGGGACACTGGTGTTTACTCTCAGCTAGATGGGAGCCATCATGGGGTTCTGAGCAGACAAGTGGCATCGTCCGTCCTGCATTTGAACAGGATCGTTCTGTCCGGGGTAAGGGTGAGAGAGCAGGGGAACAGTGCTATTGGAGGGGTGCAGGCAAAGGGATGGTGGCTGGGGCCAGGGTGGTGGTGGCAAAGTTAGTGAGAAGAGACTCACTTCCAAATGTACTCTGAAGGTAGGGCAGGTGGGGTGAGTTAGACAAGAAATCATCTGTTTCGATTTCTATAAATATTGCTCTTGCATATTTTGCTATGAGTCTCTAAGGTATGTAGGCAGAAGGACTAGCATTCCTACACACAAACACATTGGACACAGCAACGAATTACAGTGTCCACTGCCAGGCCCCGCCTAAGGCAAGGACCGTCTCCCTACAGGGGGAATGGTGACAATAGTACTTGCCTCAGAGACATGTTGTGAGGACAATACTTGCAAAGCACTTAGCGAACTCTTTGGACTCGATAAAGAGGAAGTATTTTTGTTAATGAAGTATGGTCAAGGGTCCCCTACACCCTCTTCCCAACTGAAACAGGTAATTTCAACTCTCTTCTAAAAGTTCAGAAATTAGCACTTATCTTTTAAGCAGGACACGACCAAGTTCTAGTTAGAGAAATGTGGTGGGGAGAGGTTAATCAGGGTGGGCTTCCTGGAGGAAGAACGTGACTGACTTCCTCTCTTTGCAGGTGAAGAAACCAAGGCTCAGTGACATTAAATAACTGAGATTACAAAGCTAGAAACTGGCAGAGAAGGGCTGTGTCCACGCTCGTCTGGCTCAGCACACTACCCTTAGCCAGAGTGCTGCCATGGTGACAGGCCGTCCCTATTAGAGGAGAATGACGGCCTTTCATGCAAGCACCTGAGGACGAGATGATCTGAATGGCCGTCAGGGAGAGTGGAACGCAGGTACAAGAACCAAGGTACTGCCTCACTAATAATCACAGATTCTCAGTGTGAGCGGGTGTGATGTGCCAGGTCCTGTGCCCAGGGTTTTAGATGCAAGATTTCATTTAATCCTCATTTTGCAGATCAGGAAACTGAGGCCTGACAAGATTATTGCTCTCGCCTGTGCATATCAGAACTGAGATGAGAACTCAAGCGTTCCAGTTATCTGTTGCTGCGTAACAATGGACTTGAAAAGTTAGTGGCTTAAAACGTCAGTTTATTATTTCTCATGATTTTGTGAGTCAGGAATTTGGGCGGGATTCAGCTGGTTGGTTTTTCTGCTCCACATGGCATTAGCTGGCATTCACTCGGCTGCATTCAGCTGGTGGCTGGATGGGGAGGGAAGGGCCAAGAAAACTTTATTCGAGTGCCTGGCACCCCAGCGTTTCTCTACGTGGCCTCTCCACGTGGCCAGCATGGCAGCTTCAGGGTAGTCGGATTTCTTACATGGCAGCTGGCTTTCAAAGGAATGAAAGCAAAAGTCACCAGTCTCCTCAGGACGAGCCGTGGAGCTGGCACAGTGTCATTGCCACCACATTCTACTGGTCAAAGCAAGTCATAAGGGGAGGCCAGATTCGGGAAGAGGATAAACAGAGTCCTCCTCCTGATGGGTGCAGCAGCATGCTCACACTGGGATGGCGATGCCTGTGGCCACAGTGGGAGACTGACTACCAACTCCAGCCTCCTCACTGCCAGCCTTTCTTCCACGCCCTGGGCTTAAGCCCAGGAAGCTCTCATTTCTGGGAACCCACTAGAGCCATCTGGGCCCCCACCACAAGGGGGCGCACCCGTGTTTTGTCTTCCCTGGCCCTCCTGCTCAATAACTTCATGCTTTGGGCTCAGCTTCTCAAGAATTTTTCTTGTTTTCTCAAGGGGAGGCACCATTTTCTCCTACTTCCTGACGCCACATCACCTGAGTTAGCCTGAGCATGTCTTGTTCTCAGGAACTTAAAGGAACCTAACACATGACTCACAGGCAGTCGGCCACCTGAACAAGGCTGTATTGGATTCATCTTCGCAAGCCCAGCGCCAGCACCAGGCCTTTCCCGGAAGATGAGATCTGTAAACAGGACTTTCTGGCACCTGAGTTCACATGCTTGGGCCTTGAATGAAGAAAGAGTCTTATCCCTCCAGGACTAACATCATTATCATCACCTGGGAATGTGTTTGGGACACATACCCCCCCACCCCCCACCTCCTGGATGATAAATTGCATTTTCAAAAATACCCAGGTGACTCTCATGCATGTGGAAGTTTGGGACAACGGAGGTGGAGGTCTCCAAGGTGAAAAGAATGGGAACGGTGTGGGAAGACAGGTGCTAGGATGGTAAGGCGTGGGTCTCCACCCTGGTCGATGGTTAGAATCACCTGCAGTGCTTTCCCAAGAAATCCTGATGGCCAGGGTGCACCGGGGTCAATTAAGTTTGGGTCTCTGGGGGTTGAGCCCCGACATCAACTGTTCTAAAAGCTCCTCGGGTGATTTCAGTGTGCAGCCAGGGTTGAGAGCCACTGGTTTAGGGTATTAGTCCTTAAAGTGAGGTCTGTGGACCGTCAGCACCCAAATCACTTGAGGCACTCATTAAATATGAGGAGTCCTGGGCCCCACATCAGGTTTCTGAGTCTAACTCTCTAGGGGTGGGGCCCAGGAATCTACATTTTAGCCCTCTCACTGGGTGATTTCAGTGTACACTGAAGTTAGAGACCATTGGTTTAGGGCCCTGAATAAGCAACGACAATGACAATGGTGTTTTTAAATGCTACAGATAACTACGTGCAAAAAATGGAAACTATAGGGAAGTAAAAGTGGGAAACAAAAAAGTCTCCATATTCTTACTGCCTGGAGACTGTTGGTGGCCCCCCTCTAGAGCAGGGGAGGACCCTCCTTCCTCCCCTCCCCCGTCCTCGCCCCGAGAAGCTGCCCCCATGGCAGGGGTCGGCTGTGATCTGGGCTCTCTTCTGCTGGCAGGGTGGAGCCTGTCATCCGCTCGGACAGAATTATTGCCTCAAATTACATGGTTGATTATCAATTACTTGTGTCTGTATGAGAGCATGTGTGTGTGTGTGCATAAGTGTCTTTGCAAATCATTAAGGGTCGTAATTCTGGATTATCGTTGATTAACGAGAGGAAGACCTGGTACCTCCAGCAGCCGGGATGGCAGCCCTGCAATTATGTCCCAGCTGATCAGTAATTGGCGCATCACAAGATGATTTCTCTCTCTCTCTCTCTCCCTCCCTCCCTCCCTTCAGCACCTTTGCTCATTCCCTTCCAGCCTGGGCTGAGTTTAGAGGCCTGCTTTCTGGCAAGTGGATGGTGTGGGGCCAGCTTTGAAGACCACCATCTAAACAGGGCAGTGATGGTGGTGTGCGGGGAGGGGGTGGAGGCACAGTGGTGGAGTGTAGAGCTGGCATGAGCTCTAGTTTGCTGTGAGCTGGTGCTGCCTGGGACAGTCTTGCCATCATTTTTGCCAGCAACCCCAGGAGCCATTCTCCAAGCTCCCTGCCCCTCCCCACTACATAATGGGGAAACTGAGACCCAGAGAAGTGGCAAAATAGAAAAATGAAAATTTAAAATTAATACAGAAAATTCAAAAGTAATACAGAACAGCATGGCAACACAAAATCAACTTTACAGAGGCAAGGAAGGAGCAAAGATATAGAAGAGGTCGCTCCCACCATCACTCGCATCCTTGGGATGCTGTTAAGGTCACCGCGGGTTGTCTCAGTTTCCCTGAGCAACATAGTGTTTGTGCTCAAGAGGTTACAACTAGGTATGCCAAGCTCCCGGGGTTGGGAGGAAGTGCGCTGAGGGACGGGTGGTGTTAGTTCAAGGCAGCAGCATCACCACCTGAATTAGGGCCATGGCCTCCTAACTGTTCCTCCCACTTCCACGGCGGGCCCCCAATATCCATCACGCTAGAGACGGAGCAAGCTTTATAGTGTCCTATCTTAGTCCCCACAAGATAACCTCCCTTCACCCCATGTAACTCCTTCTTGCCTCCAGGATAAAGTCGGGGTCGCCAGTCTCCTTTCTCCCTCCACCCCACCTGCCCTCTCTGCCTCAGTGCAGACCCCTCTCATCCTTCCTTTGCCCAATCTGATCCCTCTGCCTGGAACCCCACTCCCCTCCTCCCATCTTCTTTCACCCGGGGCCCACGCCCTATGGGGAAGCAGCGATGCTTGTGCTCATACCAGGGCTCCATTCCTGAGAAAGGAGTCTCCCTTCACTGGGGACCGGCAGTTGCAGAAGGACAAACTTTAAGGATGGCTTTACAGGGGTGTGAGGAACTGGGGACGGCAGGGCTGTTCCAGAAACCTTCCACATGAAAGACTCTCCCATGGCTGCAGAGCCACCAGGCAGTTTGTATCTGAGCCTTGCAGCTGTCTTAGCCATTTTCATTTTTATCTACTTAGGGTGGTCAGCAGGTCATGGCAAGCAGGGGACACGATGCTAATGACTCCGGCTCCACGTGGCGACCATTCAGGAAAAAGCTGCAATGTTCTCTCTGCCACATTAATCAGAGAAACACATCAAGAGCTGTTGTGTGGAGACAGCTTTCCTCCCAGTACCTGCCCTGCATACTAATCGCCACCTCCTCCTGGCGGTGAGTCAGCTCCGTGCCAGGCAGGCAGCGAGAGAAGGCCAGAAACGCCAGCTGAATGCATGTGGGGAGCAGCCAGAGGGGCGGGAGCCATGCCCTCACCCCCAAACGCACACTGCACGTGACCATCACTGAAGCACGGACAGGTAGGCAGGTAGAGATGGCCAATTCTGAGAGAGTCATCCAAATGCAAACCCTGGGTTACTCTCTTGGGTCTGGATGTTCTCCAAGTCTACCAGAGGGAACTCTCCAGAAACTGATCCCTAGACAGAGTCTGGTTAAAGCAAGAGCAGCCTCACTGCCAGACCCTTTGATAACAATAAGACATAACCTTAGATAATGTTTAGCATGTGGCAGGCGTACCCATAAGTACTCCAGGTATATTACTCATTTAATCCTCATACAACCCTACGAACTGGGTAACATTACTATTTCCATTGTGCAGATGAGCAAGGTGATGCAAAGAGAGGTTAAGTACCCAATGCAAGGTCACACAGCTGACCGGGTTTGAACCCCAGCAGCCACACTCTGAACCACACCCCTCCACTGCCTCTCATCGCTCTGCTAGAGCTCAGTCGCCTGAGATAGTAGTAATTATGGAAAACTACTAAGTGTCTTTTGCATGTATTCATTCATTCACTCACTCATTCATTCATATAGCAACTGTTTGTTGAGCACCTACTATGTATAAGGCACTGTACTAGGCATCAAGGAGACAATGGGAAACCAAACACATGAGCTAAAGAGGGACACTGGCATCAATTTAATATTTTCACAAATTTATAGTAATGGTACAATACGATGTGCCATGACAGAGGAGAAGTACTAGGTCCCATGGAGGCATGTAGCGGGGGGAGGTCACCTCTTTCGGGAGGTCAAGGAGGCTTCTCGAGGAAGGGACAGATGAGGGAATAGCTTACACCAGTGCTTCTCAAGGTGTGGGCCCCAGACCAGCAGCATGAGTATCACCAGAAAACTTGTCAGAAATGCAGACTCGTGGGCCTCACCCCACGGCACTGATTTATGAACCCTGGGGGCGAGGCCCAGAAATCTGTGTTTGGACAAGCTTTCCAGGGGATTCTGACCATGCTCGTGTTTGAGAACCACTGGCTTCTACAAAGGCCCGGAGGTGGGCAGGAGCAGGCGTGTTGGAGCAACCAGAGGCAGGCCTGCAGGAGGCGTGGGGTCGGGGAACAGAGCAGCCCGAGATGAGCTGGACAGGGGTTGGGTCACTTTGGCCTTGTGGGCATCCTAGGCACTCAGCCCTGCATCATGGCCCATCCCCAGGAAGCCCAGCCAGAGGGCTCCTCTGCCCTGGGGACTCTCAAGGAGAAGCCAGTCACCAGAGTGCCCAGGCTGGCCGAGGTGAGAGAATAGGAGTGGCTACATCAAATGGCCTCCAGAGGCTCCTGGTCACCTGATCTTGCCAGTGTTTCTAGGAAGCACTGGTCAGATGATGAATCCTGTTGCTAGGGAAGTGCCTTAGTCCTCGACACTGGGGAAAAAACTTAGGAGGAAAACTCCTTATTCTCAAAAGACGCTGGGACCCCTGAGAGCAAAGGAGACTCATTGCTGAGCCAAGGGTCACTAGAGAAGGCGTCAACCCTCCTCAGGAGGCAACCCTGGCCCCACGCATATGTAAAAGACCCCGGGCAGCAGGAGGTGGCTACTACCTACTGGGCAGAAAGCCAGTTGGGTGCTGACACCACGAGCAGTGGAAGCCAGGTTCATTGCAGGGGAGGACTGGATGACGTGCTCTTGTTAAGCCTGGATGAGCCGGATGTGGTCGCACCAGCTTCCCGATGGTGTTAGCCCAGAAAGAAATCAAAATTGGTGATGACTAAACAGCCCCCCACTGGACTCGGAGTCAAGTGACATTTACAGAGTCCCTGCCATGTGCTAGACATTGCACAAGGCCCTTTCACGTCTGTTAGCTCTCAGCCAGTTAGCTCTCAGAGCCCTCCTCCCATCATTCTGTCCATAAATACATATTGATTATTTGTTCTGGCCTGGGCATCAGGGCACAGTGGTGAGGAGGACCACCCTCAGGGCAGCCTAGTGAGGAAGACAGACAAATACAAATGTTTCAAAAAAGTAGCCACCAGGTGTTTTCGGGCTAACTATGAGGATTCTCAGTGCTAATTTTTTTTTTTAAAATTAAAAAAACACTTTGTCTCTTTAAGGGTCCCTTGCAGAGAGAAAGAAACCAAGAGAAAATGCAGTCTGCTAGAGATACCCACACTGGCTTTGCCCACAGTTACTATTAAATATTATTGTAGGGCCTGGTGCTGGTTGAGCTCATCAGTGCCCCAGACCCTTTGCATCTCCCTAAGGATGGGGTGGCCAGTGTCCAATGCCTCCTCCCTTCCCAGCTGCCCCACATCTCCATGGGGCTTTTTCACAAGATGCTTGGGAAACTCCTGCATCTGCTGAGAGAAAAGGCACCACCATCTTCCCTCCCGGTGTGGCGTCTCGCAAACCTAACACCGAGTCCTGGAAGCCACAAGCTCTGGGGAAGGTGGGGAACAAAAAAAAAAAAAAGAGCATTTTAAAACATGTCCCTGTTATTTCCCTTCTTGGTCTCCCCCACCTCCCCAGCTGTCATGTGAACTTGTTCTTCCCTTATACGGCTCTGAGAAAAGCACCATCTGGCAGTTTCATCAGGCCCATGGGCTCGTTTCCATCCAGCCCA